GAAGTACGATAATTATACTCGAAATTCTCCATGGAGAGGTGATATACGCTAAAACACATGCTTTTGTTGGTACCTGCTAGCTCAATATGCATGGGAATATACCGGCATGTGGTTTTGTCACAGCCATATGGCGCGACCGTGAACGCACGTGCGAGAGAGACTCAAAAGACGCATTCTATATAGAACGCTATTATCTCATGCTCTTTCCGCACAACGGAAAAAATATTTAAACGGTAGATGTACTGACAAGCCGTCATATATTGTACGTTGACACCTATAATGAAAATGATCGATATTTTAATGATAAAATATTTTAATGTTAGAAATTTAAAAAATTCTTATTTTTATATAGTATATATTGTTTATATTGTATATATTGTTATATATATTTTATAGTATAATTAAAGATTAATACATGAATTTCAGTATTTGTAAATTTCAAACGTTACTTGTGTAGTAATAATATAGTAAGTCATGTACTTTAAACAAAAATTATTTTAAAGTTAGATAAATAACTTAATATCGGCAAAAATATTGTTCTTTCTCATTTTTTAACAGCGGAAAAATCATTAATTTTATTATTTTTACTTTGTCAAACCCAGTCTATGAAAATTTATATGTTTCTAATGAGGTATTCTTCGTAATAAATCTAGTTATGAACCAACGGTTGAAGTGACGTAATATACTTTTGCATATGCAAAGTAATGTAATTATTCGTCTGTTGATACGGTAGTAAATAGATTTTGCAATAGTACGCAGTATTCTCGAAACCGGTTATTATCAACGACATGTCACATGCCATAACTTGTGCCGAGCGAGTATTTTGAACTCGTTTGTACGTAGTCACCTATAATTTGTAAGTGAATACATTTAGTGTAACAATATCTTCGTTATGCTTCTTAAAATTCTCATGTAGATATAATCATTAAAATATTATTATTATTATGAAAATATAGTAATAGGATACTCGCTGAGAAAACATATCGACAAATTTTAAACTTCTGTTAGTTTGAAAATATTAAAAAGTTTGCTCTCGAAAGCTCTTTTTGTTGAAAGAACGTATTTTCATCAAATTTATCGATATCGGTAAAAGGATACTAGAAGCTATATAATATAATCACTCTTATTTTTAAATTTGAAAAAAGTTAGTATTATGATATTTTGCATGCTTTCACAGAATTGTTTAGGATTGTGTATTTAACTTTTAAATTTTTAACTTTTAAATTAACTTTCAAATTAAATTTGTATATATATATATATTTTATATTTATTCATACAGGTACGCAATATTTTTTATACCTTTTACACTTTATATTCTAATTAATTACAGATATTGTGTACAATTATTAAAAAATAAATGTAATCCATAAATAACTTATTCATAAATAATTTATCCATAAATAATTTATTCTCTAATATTGATATTAATTCTTCTTTTAATTTTTCTTTAGTTTACAATATTGTGACACGTCAATTGGATATTAAAGCTTCAGTAATTCGCATGACGAGTAAAGGGTAACTAACATAAAGGGTGTTGCCGGAATAGCAATGGTCAATGTCACCGTAGCCGTAGTTGCAGGTTTCATGGAAGATGTTGGGAGTCGCCCTCTGATCACGAGACACAAGTGCACCTCTATCGTTCGTTACTCTTTACACCTGTGCTCATACATAACGCCCGGTATTCCGAGTGTGCGTGTACCATGACGTATTGTGAAACTCTTGTTCGTAAGTTGAGTGTGCTGTGTGCATAACGTAAAAACAAATTCGACCGAAATAGTCGCAGCTGGGCGACGCACGATTGCGGCTCACGACCTGTCCTTTTTCAAAGCCGCCGTAAAGATTTCTACTGCATGCTGAAATAAGGGACAAGGCCACGATCACAACATGTGCTAAATAATGATATCATTCGTTCTGCAATATACGTAGACGGTGTCAAGCTGAAGCAAATAAGAAGGACGAGACATTTAATTTTATCAGTCGAAGTTATTTTTGTTACCGATGGTAGAAATAAAAAATTCTACATTTATATTTTGTGTTTCTTGAAATACACGTAAAAAGATTTCTTAGTGTAAGAAGATTCGAGTTATTTAAATAGTTTTTTGTATTGTTATATTATTAACAGAAAGTTTTTCACTTTACGAAGAAAATAAACTGGTAGGAAAAAATGCTGTACTTAAATCTATGTTCTTTATCTATTGTATTTCTTTTATCATATTTTTTATCATGTTTGCGCTAATGATATATAATATTATAATAAAATTATAAACATTATTTTTAATTCTTAAATTATCAGCCATTTTTTAAAATTTTCTTAAATTTCTTCTAAATCAGAATTTAGATGTTTTTCAGATTTGATATGACTGTACGTTCATTAAACGTAAAAAATCTTTATAACAAATTTCCTATATTTAATATCATGTTTAGCTTTCAAATCGGAAAGTATAGAAAGACGTAGGAGAGCAAAGGCAGATGTTGGATTTCTTTCATCATTTTCATCGCACGCCCTTAAACGCGGAAAGTAAATCCATGTATTGCAGCTGCTTGAAGGGCGCACATCATTGAGAACTTTAGCTCCGTTAGATGCTACAACCTACATTTTGTTTAATTAAAGCTTCAGCCGTGCAATTTGATGAAAGTTATAATTATATAATAAAAATATAAAAATTGCGTAATAAGAATGTAATCCTGTTTTAAATACTCCAGTTTTGAATTACATAGAGTATTAAATAATCTTGACTAAATTAATAGCTTTTTAATTCTTTTTCAATAATATGTTTAATTACTCGTTTCAGATTATTATTTAATGAGTTGCTTTACGTCTTCCGTTATTTCATCAGAAAAAAATATGCAAATTCTATCCTGTTGAGTGAAATTTAAATTCCCATCAGTAAGCTATTAGTAGTTCTATTTCGAGAATTGTTTTATATCTTTCGAATTTACCTAACAAAAAAGTTTTATCAAAATACAGTCAATTATTTCGACAAATTTTCAATAGTAGGAAATAACATAGTTTTTCAATACTTTTCAAGTTTTCATATGCTAAAAGAAAACAGATTTTGCTCGACGAGAAAGCTCTCTCGTCTGAAAGATGTGTCAGACTCCGTGGTAAACTTCTCTCGGTCTCAGCAGATGTACGAGCATTTGCCTCGGCAGCTGCTTCTCTCACTACCGTAAACTTCTGATATCCATCCCGGCTTTTCGTTTTGAGTTGACCTGAACTCTTCACCTCGGCAACGTCATCTAACGTCTGCAAAATCGTAACGCGATCTTTAGATTGTCAGCGTCAATGTAAATTTCTCTGATACAGCTCAGAAATCAAGCCCGAGTCATCCTTTCAAACGATGCGTAATCATGTGAAAAACCGGTTTTGCTTCGTCGATTTAACTTCGAGCGGAAGCCGATGATCGGGGTACTATAAAATCTAACTATATCCCTGAGACTCTCGCAAGGTAGGGAGAAGGAAGCAACTTGGGTCCGACTTGAGGCCAAGACATTCATGTTAGAGGAAAGAGGAGGGATTTTTATTTGGCTGATTTCAAGTGAGAGGGCTATCTTTTCCTATATACACGTTCCTAAAATTGTATATAAAATATGTATAATGTATATTTGTATAAACGGAAAAAAATATTTATTTAATCAAAGAAGTTTTATAGAATTTTTAATTAAATTTAATTTTGTAAAATTCAATTTTAAATTTTGTCAATTTGTTGTTATACAATTCAAGAAATAAAAAGCATATTTATACACAGCCTATGTATATAAAAAAATTAAGAAACATTAAAATTGAATATATGTATGTTGTATATATACACACATATATATATATATATATATATATATAATATATTTTATAAATTTTATTATACTCATATCGCATGCAAGAGTACTTTGTTTAGAAAATATAAAGGAGATAAACTACAAGAAAATCTTTAAAGGAAGGGCCTGGAAGATCTAGATCTGTCCCTGACAAACGGCAAAGTGGGATAGAGCGACCTGGGTCTGTTGGTC